CCATGATAGAATTTTTTGAAAATTTGTGATTTTTTTTTTTAATCCATGATCGATTTTTTTGAAAATTTGTTAATTTTTTTTTTAATCCATATTATTCAAAGAGAAAATAAGAGAGATGATGATTTTGAGGCCACCCTATCCGAGCCTAAATTATTCACATATCGAGTCCCAACAACAACAGTGTAGGGATGAGCACGACAGTGCAGGTGAGCATGAAGGATGGACAAGCTTCGAGGATTTTGGATTGGGAACACAACAAAACACTAATACTCAAGGATTTGGAAATGGTTAGACGCCTGCTAATATCGATGATTCGTTTTTAGATCGAATCAATGAATTGTTAAACGAATTCAATCTATGGCACCAGCGTGACCAAGAAGAACAATAACGTCGTCTATAATTTAATTTTTAGATCATATGTTACTAATTTTATGCTTTATTGTAGTCCATGTGTGTTGATATACTTATTCCATAATAATTCTATGTTTATCCTTTTGTGTGATGTAAATTAAATGCTGAATGGAGGTTCATGCAAGGAAAGAACATATCAATATTTGCATATTCATTCAAAAACATGAAAATTCTTAATGGAATACCCTTATTTCTTATTGAATTCTTAAAAAACAATATTTATAATGAATTTTAATAGTTTTTTCGGATTTTGTTTAAGCTTTATTATGATCGATTCTCGATCCGGATCGCCGATTCGCCGATCCGAATCGGTTTTTTGGGTGCCCGATCCGGATCACTGATCCGTTTTTTAAACCATTGCTTTACCGTGTTTATTAATATCAAGAGCGGGAAATCCGGCTAAGAATTCGACTTGCTTTTGTATGCGGGATACTGTGATTCAGGGTATACACACCAGCTATCTGACCGTTTGCTTATGGGGATGGACGGTGGATGGCTAGTCCGTACACCCTATACATGCAATGCGTGTGGTTCCTAATGCTTGTACAGGATTCAATTGCCCAACTGGATAGTTATAGGCCATCAATGGTCCAACTCAATTCAGGTGTCAGCCATGATTTACATTTGAATTTCCCCAAAGAGCACGTATGTTATGCTCCCTCGCGAGTATAGTTTAATTCTACTCTTCGGTCAAAAGATATATTTGGGAGCAATTTTTCACTATGAACATTTGGAAGCCAACTGAAGAATTGGTAGATGATTATTTTAAAAAAAAATAAATTTGAAATTTGAGTTTTTAAACACTTAGATCTTATTATCTAAAAATTGGATGGTTTTGATTCAATCTCGAAAAAAAAAAAAGACAAAAAAAATTCAGGCAAACAACTGGGATAAATAGGAATTTTTTTTATTGAGATTAATCTATGGGTTAAAGAGCTTATATCCCAAAATTTAAGATCCTAAAATTAATAACGGGTGGCGTTTTGACCGAGAAAATAAATGAACCTTCTACTCCTACATGAGTAGAATATCATTCGGCTTCGCAAAAGCGAGACCTAATTATCATCAGATTATCGTAGTCATTGATCTCAAACGTGAAATGCAGCGATTGAAGCCCCCAAATTTATCTGCTTGCATGCAATTATTTGGTTTATATTTTAGAAAAATTCTTTCGTTTATTCGATAAGCATTAACAGAGATTGTCATTTAAATGCTAGCTAGAGAGAGAAAATCAAAAGATAAGGAGAGGTGGGGTAGGGACAGAGAAAGAATGAAAAGATAGAGTGATTGTTTCTTAAAAAAAAAAAATTTATTAAATAAATAAATAAATAAAATAAAATAAAATAAAATAAAAAAAAGAGAGATAAGTCGTGACAATCAAAAGATATATGGAGAGAGAATCATAAAAAGGGGAGTGATTGCACTTTTTTGTTTTAGGAAAAGTTATATTGTTATCATAGCAACACGGATCGTATTATGTAAGATCTCAAAGAATACCATTAAATTTGGTACATATCTTTAAAAAAATTATCACATGGATATGAGACTTGATTTTTCTATATATCTGTACTAAATTTAATGGTAATCTTTCAAAGTCCTACACACATGAGTGTGGGAGGGTCTCACAAAGTCATTTCCCTATTTTTTTCCACTTTTTATAAGATCAGCCCATGCCTGCACAATGAGCTACCCACTCCTAAAACAAATTAAAATTCAAGACAACTAATTGTCACAATCGATGTTTCAAAAACTGGGTAGGCAGGGTAGATAGTTAACTCCACATATTCCTGTCAAATTGCTAGATCAGAGATCCAGTTCGAACGAGTGATCTAAGTATTTTAAAATAAAAAACAAAATAAAATATAAAATTTATGCATTGGCCATGTGCGTTTCATATACTGTATCTACATTTTTTTTTTAGACATATATCTACATATATCTACATAAAATTTATGCATTGGCCATGTGCGTTTCATATACTATATCTATATCCTGAGACGCACACAAATATATGCAAACATATCTACATTTTTTATCGTGTGTATCGCGCTCCTGTGGGAGTATGGTATACATTTGCTCCCTAGATTAATGAACCTATTCAAGAGGATTTTATAGATACAAACTTTTAAAATCCACTCTAGAATCACTATATGAGAATTTCCGAAAAAAAAAATGATGGTTTGTGTTCTTTTTTAGGACATTATCACTTTTCCCTTTTCTGGTTAATTTGCTCGCTAATTGGAAGAGCTTACAACTTCAAATTTTGGGTCCTAAGAATTCTTGGCGATTGGGTTTAACCCAAAGGTGAATGTTCTATATGCTTTCACGAGAACATATTAACTTCTAGCATTTAAGATATGGGAAAGGTTTCTATATTTCCCCCGGTAGATCTATGCTTTCCTTATCATCCAGCCATCCAATTTTGATCAAGAGAGCCACTTGCCGTTTGATCTTAGATCTGACGTCTCAAAGTATTTTATTTTTAGTTTTCGTTTATACAAATTGTGTGAATATGAAATTTGGTACGTGTCATATTCTCTTTGGGGCGCACCTATAAAAAATATTAAAAATAAGTTTTCGATAAAATATAATGACCAAAATACCTTTTGAATCTTTTAAAGGTATTTTGGTAATTTATTTTATTGAAAATATTGTTTTCATATTTTTATCTAGTGCGAGTTTAATAGAGGATTGGATATACAAAATTTGGTATTAAAATAGTTTGTAAAAAAAAATTAAAAATAAAATAATGTAGAGACGCGACATTGTGATTGGGGCAATCTTAACCCCCCATTCAGAATAGACGGCTGGATAAGGGAAAGTATATAAGTTTTATGTTGTAGGGAAACATAGAAAGCTTGCCCATAATATATGTGTATATAATTTTTTATTTTTTTTTGCTTAGTTTCTTTTAGGGATATTTTTGGTTAAATACATCATACATATACATATGGTAAACTGGCACATAGATACATAATTAAATAACTAAAAACATCAACAAAAGGAAAACCCCTAAAATGTCTTTAGGTGAAATGCCTCGTTACGGCTCTTGTAGAGCTGTTGTAGCACCACAACAGACCTAAAAGAGCCGTTGCGGTCGATTTCACCCATTAGCACTGCATAGTGACTTCCTTAGGAAAATATGCAGATAAATACACCCATAGATATTGAAATACATAAAAGGGAAGGGAAAGCAAATTTACCCATATTGGTGTTTCTTGTAGTAAGGGATGTTGGACAAGAGTGTATCATCCACATCAAAGATCCATGCATCCTTCCCATCTCCTGTCAAACCGAACTCTTGACTAAGATAGAGAGTGCATTGTTCTAAGGCCCTCTCAGAGTCCACCTTATATTGTGTGGAAGTCATGTATTTACCAATGTATTCCACACACTCATGAGGCACAACCTCAAAGTCCCTGAGGTTGTGAACCTCAACATTCACTCTCCAGCTCTCACAGTAGTTCTTGAGGCTGATCTTAAGCCCTTTGCCATCTCCCTTATGGTGCAATATGTTCCAGTCAGAAGCACACACCCCATCAAGAACCAGGCTCACCAGGCCCAGCACAAGTGCCAAATGCATCCTCATGTCCTCACTTCCTCAGTGGATCAGAGAGAGAAGAGGTTTTCTCAAGGGATTTGGGGTTGTGGGCTATTTGTCTATATTGGGTTTGAAGAGGTACTGTGTTTTTTTTTTGTTTTCCTTTTTTGGTAGAGAGGGTTAGGTTTGAGGGTGGAGACCAGAGAGAGAGAGAAAAAGAAAAGGGAGAGAGGAAGAGAGGGAGAGAGGGGTGGCTACCTTAGAGGCTTGGATCCAATATGAATGTAGAGTTGGGGGGAGGGACAGAGAGATGTGGGTCACAATGATCAGTAGGACTAGAGAGAGAAAACATGGGGTGGGGCAGGTTGGCCCCTTGTATGAAATGGGGTCACATGGGTGTACAGCTTTTGATCCCTTGTGCTGAGTAGTGGGTACAGCTCTTTACCAAGCTGGATACACAATGGGGTATTTTAATGTTTAATAAATGGTAGTGGTGGGTGCCATGAATTTTTCTTCAAAAAGGAAATTATAATGTGATATGATTCTTTTGTAGTCTTTGCATGCCACAGAATAACCCAAATAATAATTTTTTTAAAAAAAAAGAGAGTTTGAATGGGAGATGTGGCCAAGGGGGTTCAATAATGAAGGACTTAATACATTCACAACGCCTCAGATTGAAAGGGTGTGCTAAATTGGTATATGCACATTTCTTCAATACTATTGAAATCCAAGTTCAAAACCAAAATCACTTCTACATTCCCATTTAATGAAGGGCGCAGTTTCCATACGGACGCCTCCGTAGCTGTAGAATGTTATTAGGATTATCTCAAAATCTATTTTTATATCTAATTATAAAATTTTAAATTTAAAAAATAGTTCAAATCAAATAGATCTAAAAATATATGAAAATCTTGAAAATTGACAGCGTAGATAATATGTTGTAAAATGCATTATTATTGAGACTTAAAATCTTTTTATTTTTCATAGTCATACATCCGAGATGATTAATCAAAAGGTTTTTCAACATTAAAACTACTTTTTCCAATGGATTTTTTAGGGGCTTCCGTAGTTCTACATTATAAGGTAGCATCCTTATATAAACTTTTTCCTTTAATAAATCCAACGGGGCCGCGCTGTGAAGAGAACGGCAAAACGAGGTTGCTTGCTCTCAAGTCTCAGCCTCCTAATGAGGTTTGCTTGCACTCAGTCTCAGTCTCCCTATCAAAACGTTACCACAACGCAAGGCCGATATGTTTTGTAGCAGTCAACAAGGATTAGTTCGATCCATTAGGTTCTTCGATTTGTTCTTCCCATTTAATAATGAGGATGATGATAAGACTCAAAAGGGTATTATTATTTTTTATATTGATAATAATGACATTAATTTTAAAGTAAGGACATTGATCAGGTAGGAAGTTCCTCGTGTTCGGTTATATGAGAGTTTCCAATTGGATTAGAGATCTAACGGATAGTAGGAAGGTGGCTACTCCACTGCCACATAACCACCACCCCGCTACTAGTAACGACCTTTCTGTCACCCATTAAATCCATAGGAAAAATAAACAATAAGGCCATTCACTTTTTTTTACTAGGAGACCATAATTATGCTTAGCTGTAAGATATGAAATCGAATGGCTGCAAGTATTCTATTGACTTGTTCAGAGTCCAAAGAAATTTTTCTCAAAATTATGATGATCCCAATGCTATCACATTTCACATCTGATAGCTAAGAGTGTTGCGACCTCCTTGTAACAATTGTAGATGGTCTTATAGCATACAATCCCAAATGTATAATCCAATGGTTGGTAAGAATTCTCACACAACATTAATAAATGGGACCTCCTTTACTGTCATTCCCCTCCTCTTCCTTCTCCTATTAACAATAGCAATAACTAATAACAATAATAATAATAATACATAATAATACATAATACATAATAAATAAATTATAACAACAATAGTGATGACAAGCATAAGGCTCATAACCATACCATGGGATTATTAATATGAACAATTACAACATTGGATTCAAGTCCAAAACCAATAACACTTTTCCGGTTCACCTAACTTGCCCAACAATGGTAATTATGGTGATGGCATTGAGAGTAGCAATAAAAGCCGGGATGTGCAGCTGAAATACTGGAAAAGAAGGGTTTATTGAACATAAGTGATGAAACTTCACCATGACAACAAACCATCATCAAAGTTCCTAGAATAGCTAGAAGGATCATAACTGAATTTCACCTTGTTCTTCCTCATTCCCATGCCTTGCCTCCAACTTGCTTTGACCCTCCAAAGCAAATGCCTCCATCGCACCACACGATTACCCCACACAGTCATGGGTCTTTGTCGCTGAAGGCTGATCACTGTAACTCCTCTTCCATTGTCAATCCCTCTTTTCTTACAGCAAATGAATGACCTTGCGATTCTCTCCAAAATCGCCATTCTTAGATTGGCTTGCATCTATACTTTGCAGACAGAGCATAGGAAGATGGGGGGGCATATATTGATGAATGTGATCGAATGCCCTCTTCTTCTTCTTTTCCTCTTTATAGAAGTGAAACCAAACCAATCAATCTTAACCCAACCTGCAAAAGAACCAACCACTTGCTACAAGTGAAACTGAGAACCCACCACTTGCTATAAGTGAAACACAGTTAACCCCCCTCTCTCTCTCAATGGAGTCCAAATGGGATAAGGTAGAATTCTATCGCTAAAGTTGCTGCACTCAAAGTGGAAGGGCATCTTCAACACCTTGAAACAAGTGGATAGAGGTGTCATGTAAAGTAGTTCGACACTCATGCAACGAACTACCTTTAGGAATACATCCCTGTTCAACTCTAGACCTTTTTTAGCATATGACCGCAAAAGCCCCAATCTTTTGCCATAGGACACAATAAATCAGAGGTTTTATGAAATACTGAAGCACCATTGCAGTCACCTTGATGCACACAACATTCAGCAAATAACTAAGCTCTTAGTTTCTTAAAATAAGAAAACCAATACTATTTGCAAAAATGAACTAATACAAGTAAAACTACTTTTATGCCCCGGTAGTCAATTAAGTTTTACTTATTTTGTGGAAACAATAGGAGACTTCTAATACATGTTTAAATCTAAATAAAGAACAGAGGAGATGGTGCTTACTTGTGCAAAACATGGGGTACTGTAGGAAATAAGAAAAAAGATGAGGGTATGATGGTCAATTATAAAAAGGAAAGGGTGGGTATATTGGTCATCCCCCATAAACCTAAAGGTTAAACCCACTTTGCCCTTTTTATCCCATAGGACCAGACACATGGGATATGACCCACCACCATTCCCCTTTCTTGAAAATCTTAAGACTTCCTGATAAAAAGCATGTCTAAAGGAAAAGATGGGTATCTCACTTTAAATCCTTGCGACAGGGAAAGGTATATGATTAGACTTAATTAGTTGAATTAAAAAGAGATCAATGGACCCCAATTTGCCAAAACGAAAAATAAATAAACAACGAGACAAAAGGTTTACCTCACAAATTTGGCATCTTATCAGCTCAGATCTTTCATTTCCAAAATCAAATCCTCATTGACTGCCACTAACAAAACCCGTGATCACAAAATAACAAAGTTCATAATTCATCTCTTCTTAATCATTAGGTCCTATGACTGGGGATATGGAGAATCAAAGCCATGTGTGCGCATACATGGGGGTGTGTGTAGAAAGAGAGAGAGAAAGAGAGAGAGAGAGAAATAAAGAAACAGAGAAAATTTAGAGATCTACTTCTCCTTAAGTGGTTTTGACCTTTTTGTGGCGTATTTGACCTGTATATTGTTGCTTTTAATCTACCCATACAAGACTGGGCTATCCCAACTTCAAATATAAACACCTTTTGAGGACAGAAGCTAACCGACCAACTAATCCTTTTACAGGACCCCTCAAACTTAAGGGAAAATACTTTCCTTATTCTCCTCAATATTGACCAAAGAGTGCAGCAGAAGCCAGAATCATGTTGCTATTATCGAATCTTGACCCAATCTCGAAGGTTGATATGGAAAATATAGAGATACCAAATCCTTTCTGCAATTTCACCTGCATTTATCACAAGAAATGCATGTTATGTAACCATCCTCCAAAAAGGAAGAAGAGCATATGTGAAATGAGTGATTCTATTTCCCAAAGAAATAATGCAGATTGTAAAATGTTCATCATGGTATTCTTCTTTTATTTTTTATTTTTTTTCCCTGAAAGATACAAAAACTTACAAGTTGTGTGTTCCTTTCCAACTGGATGGCAATCGCATCTTCTGAGAGATTATGAAAAAAATGAAGTCAGTCATAAGTATTGAAACCTTGTTCAACAAATATTGGACTCCCAAAGAAATCTTCTGAGAGGTTATTAAAAAAATGAAATCAGTCATAAGTATTGAAACCTTGTTCAAAAAATATTGGACTCCCAAAGAAATAAGAGGCCTCAATAACCTGATTGATGGAGAATCTTTATTGATCTGCCTTTCTATTTCACCCACATAAAGATTGAATAACTCTGACCTATAATGCCAACCATAAAGACAAGAAGAATGACAATTATATTCTTTTTTAAAGTAACTACAAATCCGTCTTGTTAAATATTTAAATATTAAGTTTGACAACTAAAATTAAAATGCATATTACAAGCATAGACCCACAAATTTAACATAATATCCTCCTTTCTCTCCCATTACCAAAATAATTTTTAAACTGCAAATGCCATTTCCATGTAATGAACAGGTCCTCTCTTGCAGCGCCATCCCTCCCTCTGTATGTGCCGGCCTACCATAATTGTGTTGACCCTCTCCCTCTGCGCAAGCCATAATCATGTTGAAACACCCCCCACCGCCACCCACCCCCCCTCCGCGCTTCTCTCTCTCTCTCTCTCCCCTAATACCTTTCCTCGTTCCCAGAATATTCCTCTCTGCCTCATTTTCTTATTTGCTACATTTTCAGTTTTTAGATTAAGCTATTTTGTATTTCTAAATCATGCCTTACATTACTTGGTGAAACCAATGACCATGTCAATCAACCTTGCAATATCTAGGTTGAGTTTCAAGTCTGCAAACAACAAATCCGGCAATAGAACAAAAGAAAGATTTCACACATACTACCAGAAGAGGAAAATATAGACTAACCACAAAGGAATTGCAGCTGCTGGAAGGATTGGGGGTATTCTCCATAAAAGACAAGGCCAAGAGTTCAAGAAAAGTGATAAGTAGTCACGAACATCGTTTTCCTGATTCATGAATAGCAACAATCAGAAAATCATAAGACTCGAACAAAATTATTTCCTTAATTTACAAGGAAGATACACAAAAAAACAGGGTACGATACATAATAAAGTCCTATAATGATGACGAATATTGGTTAACTTGATTGCTTATTCATATACGATGAATAATAGAATCAAAGCTACCATTATACAGGTTTCTCAAATGGTAATCTGTTAGGTGCAAGAAAAAATCAGACCAGTCAATCAACTATGACAGAAACCAGTGGCAGATAGCACAGGTTGCAGGATTTGTATGACTTCTTTCAAATAAGAGAGAGAGAGAGAGAGAAGCTGCAAGTATCATGATGTAAGCATTGCATCACGAAAACCTTTTAAAGTGAGAACTTAAATTTTTTTGTTTTGGACAATCAGCGTTACGATTCAAACTTGGGATGCAGTGTTACAATCATCAACACCTTACCCTTTGAAAAGAAGATTAAAAAAGGAAAAACTAGGAAGTAAGAAAATCCAGTTGACAATTCCAAAAGGCCAAACCAGTACCTTGGAATTCGCTGTTTTCACTTTAGAAGTCGAAGACTGATATTTGTCTCCACATGCATGTAAATTAAGCACCTCAAAGTACATTTTTGAGATAGAAATACCATCTAAGGGAAGTGACATGGATTGCTCAATTAAGGAACTCCATTTGTCTGCAACTAAGCCCAATAAAGAAAGTTCCTGTTGTAACATGTGTTGTATTACTACCAACTCTGCAATATACGTAAATAAAAACTACTTCCCTAATCAAAATAAAAATGAGAGATATGTAATGAATCCACTAAACTAATATGAAACCAAGTAAGGTGAATTGGAAGTGAAGATATTGGTTATCATAAAGAGCAATGATCCATCATGAAAGAAAACTAAGCAATAAGAGTAGACCTTATCCTAAAAATGTGGAAGCATTCATATAACATGTTCATAATCAACTAATAGGCCCCAATTTAAATTCATCTACATCTGGATGAAGTGACAAAAATAAACAAAAAAATAGATTTGTTCAAGATATCCTCATCAGGGACATGTAAGTATTTGGAGGTTCTGCCAAGCTTATCTCTAGATTCTTTTTACTTGTGCCTCAGCATAGCATACTAGCTATTTACTAAACTTCCTACAAAATCATGAATATATAAAAACCTAAGCCATCATCAATTCAGCAAAACACAAGAAATTACAATAGGTGACTTTAAACTCTCTGAAATGTTTGACCTAACAAAAAAATTTGAAAATTCATACGCAATATTAATGGTAAATGTTTTTTTTTTTTGATGAAGAGATATTAATGGTAAATGTTGAGAGGCAACATGTGTTTTATCTCAGAGATAAACCGGATTTTAGAAGCTAAATGTGAATTTTTTGCTCAAAGAACAGTAGGGATGTTGATATATTAATGATGCGAACTTACAAGTATGTTCTTCAAATTCTCATCATAGGCTTCTGAAAAACCTTTCAAAGAATCCAACACTTTAGACCACTGCACCTTAGGTGCACAGAATATCATGCTCGATCCAGAGACCAAGTTAAGAGTCCTCTTGTCCAGCAAATATGCCAGGCCTGATGATTTCCACTGGTTTCTTACACTACCTGTCAAAGTACCTTCAATCCATGCCAAAATAAAGAAAAGAAACACACATTATGGAACTTCAAATGGCACTAAGCCAAATTCATTAAAATCACAAGAATTATTTTCTTCTTTAGTCAAAAGTATTAGAAAGTGTTGGGAACAGTACGGTTCATGAAACAACAAGAAACTTTCTAGTCAACTAATAGACAAGGTGAAGAAGTGAAGAAAACCAATAGAATACAATTGTCAATAAGAAAGAACATAAACCTTCTTTTATTCGATCGCTTCCATCAGACACCCATATGCTGCTAGCATCATAAATCACAGTCTTCTTTTTAACACTTTCTGAGAGAAGACCCAAGGCCACCTCAATTGAGGACACGCATGAAACTGCAGCATGCTTTTTCAATACTTCTTCAATAACAATCTTGCAATTATCAGCAGATGGTTTTCCATTCGCATCAGTGCTAAAAACATCACTGGGCAATTCAGGAGTTAGACCACTGATATTGAGAATTCCAGCATTTCTCCCCTTGCTATCTTCCATAGCCTGGCAATCAGAAGAAACCCCATGTGATAGAAATGGATTTTGGGATTCTTTATTTGGAATCTTGGATGATTTTGACACCATCAACAAGTCAATAAATGCATTCAGGGGGTCGCCTTCTGTTTTAGTTTTGATATCTTCAAGATCCATCTCAACTGTTGCAATTAGAAGGGCAGTCAGCTGTTCGTCCCTCAAAGGAAGGGTGTGTAATAGATGTCGTAGAACTAGTTCCCTTGCTCTTAAAAGAGCGGAAGATGATAAATGCATGAGGGCCTGAAAGGCGAAGTATCAAAAAATATGATAAGAGTAAATCCCTCGGGAGATAAGAGGTTTAATATGTCATATAATATGTTCATATAGCTGCATATATAGAAATGACAATGAGGTTTCACAATCTTTTCCACGAAATCATTTAGTGTTTACTACCTGGGGGAAGAAAGGATTAGAAGTCAGTTCAGATAAAGCCAAATCAAGTTCCTTCATTGATTCTGTATAGTCACCTGAATCAGGTATCTTTTTCAAAACCTACAAATATGCCAAATGACAATCAGAATTGTAAACTACCTATTACAGCAACCACCAACAAATGAAAAAACCAAAACAAGTAAAGAACAAATTTACACTTCATATAAATGCATGAGATGCGAAATAGGAAGCCTGAACTAGAAAGCAGATCATGAACCACATAACTATGATTAGAATAATAATATGTGGACGTTAACCCTACATTGAATTATCAAAAATATATATTCAAATACAATCACCACTCCTATCAGCTTACCCATTGAGAATGTACTCTATAATCCAATGGAATATAAGAAACCAATAGAACTTTGGGGTCATCACCATTGATAAAATGATGAATCATGAAGAAGGGACAACTCCCTTCCAAAAAATTCCTCCAGATTGTTTTCATTTATAGAGGTAAGTTATATGATTTCATCCTCTCTTAAAACACCCTCTCATGAATAGAGGTATTTTACAACAAATCTTAGGGTAGAAAAATAACTAACATGGGGTTAGTATCAACTATTGGAGAATGTAAACTATTAAGATTAGCAAAATCCATATTTAGTGTCACCATTGTCATGATAAGAATGGATACATTGAGATTCTAATGCCAATTTAGCAGAGATGGGTAACAAATAAACCTTGAGAACACTATCATGGGAGTTAAACACCACATATCAACATTTCAAACGTCATATTATCTTAAATAGATCTCCCAAACATTTAAAACAACTATAAGAATAGAAGAGAATACAATGAGGATGATAATTATTCTAGGTTGTAAATTTGCTTGAATGGCAAGGAACTCAGCTCAATAATACGTAAAAGAATCAAAACCAAGTTAAATAAAAGGAGATATCAATGGGAAACCAGGAGAACGAACCTACATTTTCAAAGAAGAGACCCCATTGCAAGGCTTTCTTGATATTCTCTGCGTCCCAATGAGCATGAAGACCAGAGGATTGGTACCCGGAAGCCAGAATCACAATATCTATAAACCCTTTAACCAAATTCATGAGCTCTTCTAGAGAGATTTCAGGATGGGTCCAACCCATTGCCTAAAAAATTAAACTAGAACGAAGAAAACCCTAAAAAGGGCCAATATATTCAATAAACCATTACAACCAATTTAAATATAAGAGCCCAAAATGTGATGGGTTTGTTAATGAAAGACATTCGTGCAATGCATATGAAGAAATGCTGAAGAACTCTCGATCAGGACATATATTTTGGAAACCTGTCTCTCTCTCTCTAGCAATTAAGTCAACAGGTTCAATGGCTCTTTCTCTCTATACGCTTTAGAGTTGCAATTGAATCCACAGGGGCTCTGTATCTATCCAATTGTACAATATGCGGTCCAAATGCATAAAGCATCCATCTTAAATATGGATACAAAATAGGTGGTCCATTTAAAAATAATTGAAACTAATGGTCTAAATGTTTTTTTAATGAAATTATTATTTCAATTTTCAAAATTTATTTATTTTTTCTTACTCATGATCTCCATGTTAAATATTATACATTCTCTAAAAATTAGGATCAAATTTTATATCAAAAATAAATTTATTAAGGGGCCAGCATTTCTACATTTGCGGGCTTGGCTGCATGTTAGCCGCATCCAATTTGAATTGAGAAATGTTTAGATAGTGCTGCAGCCTAGTCCGAATGAGTAAAGCCTCATCCCAAAACTTATAAATAAACACCTTTGAAACTATTATGGTAAGATTTGAAGCTTTTAAAATACTGTATATTGTAATACATTTATCTAGGGGATTGTATACAATGAGACCATATAAGATGGTCACAATTACTTACAATATGAAATCTCATAGCTTGGTGTCATAAATTTTGAGAAAATTTCTATTAAACTTTGAGTTTGGTCAACGCAATAAATGCAGCCACCCAATTTTACATCCAAGATTCAAGATTAATTGTAACCACTTTGTAGCATAGGTAAATAGTCTCATTAAATACCTTCCCTTTATCTAGACCATCTATTTTCAAGTGTGGACAAATATGCAAAATCTGTAATATATTCTGAGCTATAAATTTCATAATCGTTGATGAAAATTGATTTGAGAGCATTCATATATATTTCCTAATTCCAAAGTATTTTTTAGAACTTTTTTTCATAAATCCTAGGCGCTATAGAAACTACATTCATATTAATAACACCGAACAAAATTAATTATCGTGCGAGGGGTTTCTCTCGTTGACTCATATATGCGCGATTATTTTTAGTCACAAGATTTCATACTCCATAGATAGAGGTGGCAATGGATCTGGTCGCATCCAACCCAACCCGGACATGGACTCGACATTGGCCAACTCAAGTCCAAGGTTTTGGACTTGGACGCGATCCATCTAGTCCAAAACTTGGACCCAAACCCAACCTAGTTTGTGTCCAAGCCTAAAACGTAACAAAAAAAAATTGAAAAAATATTAAAAAATATATATTCTAAATACAGATACCATATATATATATATATGGAAAAAGATGGGATTAGCTCACTAGCTCATATGAACATATCAGCCCAATGGCCCAGATTGAATCTGGGCCGATCTGATGGTCATGACCTCATTCGCGTTTGAATTTTAATTTTTTTTCTACAAATCCAAATCACTTAAAATTTTAGGCGTGTGTTCTTCTTATCAAGTCGCATCTAATAAAAATATAAAGAAAAAGTTATTCTTGAAAAAACAATGACCAAAATACCCCAAAACGTTTTGGAGGTATTTTGGTCAATTTATTTCATGTAAAATATTTTTTTGATATTTTTCGAAGATTTAACTATTTTTTATGAGCACACTCCTAAAATTTCAAATGTTTTGGATTGTAGAAAAAAAAATTAAAATTCAAACACTACCGGACATCTGCGATCGTCAGATCAGCTCAGATTCAATCTGGACCATTAGGCTCATATGTTCATGTGAGCTAGTGGGTTAATCCCAGCTTTTTCATATATATATATATATATAGGGTGTGGTTTGCATAAGGTTGCAACTTTAAACAATCTAATTAAGGTGCACCTCTAAATTTTATCAAATATATAATTTTGATATAAAACTTTTTTAGGATAACTTGAGAATCTATTTTTATCTCTAATTATAAAATTTTAAGCTCTAAAAATGGTTCAAATCAAATAGATCTATAAACGCATGAAAGTCTTGAAAATAGACAGGCTAGATAATGTGTTGCAAGATACACTCTTTTACGAACTCGAAATCTTTTTTCCTTTTCATATTCATGCATCTTAATATAGAGATGGTCAATTAGAGGGCTTTTCCACATCCAAACAATATTTTATAATGGATTTTTGTGGCGCATATTTAATTTTACATTTTAAGGTTGCAACCTCATAAAAACTTTTCTCATACATATATATATATATATGGAAAAGTCTTCCCAATGTCTATAAGCGAAAATGAATAATAATTTCGCCTACCCTCATCACCATCCAAATTTCATCGCGCGATCACGACTTGTCCGGTAGTATTTTATTTTTTATTTTGTTTCTACAAATTAAAATAACCTGAAATTTGGAGGGTATGTACATTTACTGAGACGCATATAATAAAAATATAAAAAAAATTTATTCACAAAATAAATTGACTAAAATACTCCCGAAACTTTTTGGAGGTATTTTGCTCATGTTTTTCATATAAAATATTTGTTTTATATTTTTCGAAGATTCCCCTATTTTTTATTAATACACGCTCCAAATTTCAAGTCATTCTGATTTGTAGAAAAAAATGAAAAATAAAACGCTACCGGATAATCGTGACCATGCAATGAACTTTGGAGGGTGATGAGGGTAAGCGAAATCACTGTTCATTTTCGCTTATAGGCGTTGCGTAGTGTTTTCTTATATATATATATATAGCAATGATCCAATGCAACGGTTGTATCACAGTATAATGCAATGACACTTATAGAAAACCATGTTTGTGGTATTTGTATAACCTCAAATTTTGCACACACACTATCTTCATCTCGATAATCAATCTCCCCAAAAATAAAGTTTAATTTGAACCCTAGATATAGTAAAACGAGTCCCCTTCCAAAAATGAATCTAGACCATTCATTTTGTGAATTTCAAGATCTGGGCGTTTATAAACTCCAAATCATTTTTTTCTTTTTTAACATTGTTTATCTAATGATAATAAAGCCATGCAAACTTTGGAAATGAAAAAATTCTTCTAAGGCCTAGATCTAAACATCTCACCAAAATGAACGGCCTATGTTAATTAGGCTAAAAAAATACTTTCTAGGTTGTGTTTTCAATTTTTTCATTTTTTTTTATTGTTCAATAGAATGAAAAGAATATATATTTCAAAATTTGGATCAAACAAATGGTCATAAGATTGATTTTTAAGGTTGTTGCATCATATTACTATACAACGGTCGCATGAAATCATTACTTATATATATATATATATATATGGGAAAAATATGGGATTAACCCACTAGCTCATGTGAACATATCAGCCCAATGGCCCATATTGAATCTGGGCCGATCTGACGATCATAGATATCCGGTAGTGCATGAATTGTATTTTTTTTCTACAAATTCAAATCACTTGAAATTTTAAATGTGTGTACTTCTAATCAAGATGCACCTAATAATAAATAAATAAAAATATTCGAGAGAAGCAAAATGATCAAAATACCCCCTAAAACTTTTCAAGGGTATTTTGATCAATTTATTTAATTTAAAATATTTTTTTGATATTTTTCAAATATTTATCTGTTTTTTGATAAACACACACCTAAAATTTCAAGTGATTTAGATCTGTAAAAAAATAAATAAAATTCAAACACTACCGGACATCCGTGATCATCATATCAGCCCAAAATCAATCTAGGACATTCGACTTATATGTTCATATGAGCTAGTGGGCTAGTCTCATCTTTTGTTGAATATATATATATATATATATATATATACACGAGCAATGATTTCATGCAACGGTTGTGTCATAGTA